CTGCACAGTGAACAACTAGCTCGACCTTGGAACGCCGCGAAGCTTAAGCGGTACTACAGTTAGAACATTGCCCGCGACGACCCATCGTCCCGACCACTGGGGGGCGACATGGTACCATCGCACACCCCCGCGTCCACTAGCGACCAAAGAAAAGCAAGCCCTGCCTCTTGTGTGCACGGGCTGACGACCTTGCTCGGCAGGGAACACCTCGACTGAGATCCCCCGCCGCCGTACCAAAATCGGTAGGACACTCAGCTCGCGATGGGACGTCCACGCCACGGGGAGAACTACCCCCGAAACGGCCAGGCTATGTCGCCGGCCAAACCGGCCGGTTCCCTTCACCACCGGTAACAAATTTGTCGAGCTAACACCCGAATAGACCCAGAGCATATCGAGGCATGCACGTCAAAAACATTCAAGTAAAACAAATAAATACGAAAAACGAGCATAAACATCATGCAAATACCGAGCGCACACTTAGAAAATTCACAAAATATATTAAGCAAAGCGGGCACCAGCCCAATAGTTAATATTACACAAACAGAGCACAATGGCCCAAAGAAAGACAAGTCACAAATATCGGCACGCAGGCCACAAAAACAACGAGCACGCAGGCCCGACAATCTAGACTACTTCACCCTCCTGATCGGCAGCCACGGGGACCTCCTCGGGAACGACAAGATAAGGGTCGACCACCTTCCCATCAACAATCTCGTGATACGGCCCGATCCCATCCACGACCAGCGCGACGCCGGGGTTGACAACCTGGATTTACTCTACAACGTTCTTGAACCCGACCTCGACAGCCTCCAAACAATCACCTTCCAGCACCCGAATACGGGCAACCAGATCAGCACGGGTGATCAACCGTTGATCTCCCTCTGTCTCGTCCTCGGTCGGACGAAGTGCGCTGTCCAAGACTTCCATACGAACTTTCAGCGCCTGCACCTCGGCCGTTTCCGCCCCCAACTTCTCCTCCAGCGAGGTCACCTTCCCCTCAGCGCCCTCTGCTCGTTTGTGCTGGCCAGCGACATCCTTCTGACTCTTCTCCAATTCCTCAGTAAGCTTGGCCAACCGCGACTGCATAAAGGTAAGGTCCCCCTGCAATTTGGACAACTCGGCAGCGGAACAACCCTCCTCGTTCAACACAAGAGCCGTCGTGAACGTCCGCATCATTGCAGCCAAATCCTCCGCCAGGACACGTCGACGAGACTCTCGATCGGCCTGGCGGACAACCTTCACCTCCCCAGCGGAGACTGTAGGAGATCGAGCACCATGAAAATAGCCCGGATGCTGATGGCAAGGCGGGACGACATAACCTTCCTCGGCCGAGCCGATTGTCAGATCTACCAAACCGCGGGGCTCCTCGGATCTCGGCCTTTTCGCTGCTCCCTGAGACGTGGGAGACTGACTCTCTTGAGGCGAAGAAGACGAACTCTGCCCTCCCGGCGTCGCAACCTCCTGTCCGACCAACTGACTCACCCGCGTCCTCGGGACCACGACATTCCTGGTAGCGCGCAACTGCTTCACCCGCTCCTCGACAGAAGACATGTTCGCTGCAAAAACAAAGAAAGAGTTAGCAACAGCCGGAACACCCGAACACGGGGAGAAAAACATCCCTACCTAGATAATCCAGAGCGGCCGCCCCGGTGACGCAACCGAGCAGGGTCTTAGTATTAATCAGCCGCTTCTTGGTTCGCACGTTCCCCTACGCGTCGAGGATGCACCGACCATCAGGCGTCACCAGCTTCGACGGAGGGAGGGCCCGCACAAAGGCGACTATTTTCAAATAAGCGGCCATATCTTTCTCGTCGAGGGTCCCCGCTCGTATGATATACCTATCCGTACCTCAGTTGAAATGCTCCGCGGTCCATAACAGATGTATCTTGGGAAGCCACGCGAGGAACCGCTGGCCGTCTACCATTCGCTCGCCCTCGGTGAAAAGAGTATCCGAGCCCTGCTGTGTGATCGGTTTAACGAGGAAGAACCGACTTTTGAAATCCTTGACGGAATCACTATACGCCTTGAAGAGCTTGGTCGACTGTTTAAATGAGACCCATCCCTGGCGGCCATTCACCGAATGGCGCTGTAAGTGGAAGATACGGAAAAACAACGGTATCGCGGGCTCCACCTCGAGGTAGAAGCACACCACCTCGAAGGCACGGATGAAGGCCAAGGCGTTGGGGTGAAGTTGAGACGGGGCCAAGCGCAACCAATCGAAGAGCCCCAGATGAAAGGCAGAGAACGGTAACCTGAGCCGAGCCTCTTTGAAGTAGAACTCGTGCATAGGAAACATTCGCCGCCCATATCGCGAGCAAATGCGATGGTGCTTCTTCGGGCGGTACACCTGCCAATGTTGCGGCTCCCCGATGGGCGTATCCTCGACGGTGGCATAGACGTCGGACGCATCGGCCACAAAGCAGGACGGGGTAGACAGCGGCTCTTCAGCCACCCATTCTTCGACCGGGGCGACGCGCTCGTCAAAGTCCGGGACCTCGGGTTCGTTGTCTTCAACCATCGTCCCCGGTACCAAGGACGACATCTACACCTGAAAAGCAGAGGACACCGGTGAATTCGATAGCTAATATCAAATCCACCCTTCCACCGCAGGTCAAGTGAAAGGGCGGCAAAGGCCAGAGAACGGTGGGCAAACAGGCACTCCCCGCCGATCCTCCCCAGGGCGTCCAAAAGCCAACCCACCGTCCCTCCGCGGGGCAGTCACCGGAAAAAGAGCGCGTCCCCGGGGCATTCATCGGAAAAAGCGCGCGTCCCCGGGGCATTCATCGGAGAAAGCCCCCGTCCTCGGGACATTCATCGGAACAACCAATTCTCCCCGGGAAATTCACCAGAAAATCGCCAGATACGGCGGATCTTGCGTCCCTCCTCGGGGCATTCATCATGCCCCGACCACGCATTCTAATCAAGCGGCGGAAATAAAAGGAGAAGAGAAAGAAGAACTCACTTGTAACAGCGGCGAACGGGAGGAAGAACCAAACGGTGCGACGGCGATCGACGGCAACGGCGGACGAGCAAGGATCTCAGAGCTTCGCAGGTAAAACAGCAAAGGGAAAAGTAGAAAAATGAGCGGGGACCCCCGTATTTATAACCCGGTGCGGGATTCGAAGCGATGCTAGGCTCATTAATGACATAGGGTAGCCGCCCCTACGACCGCTTAACGCACGACACGTGGCGGCAACCTGACAGTCACACCCCTTCACCTGCTGTCACCCCGCTCCGCCGACGACCGGGGATCCCCGCGCGAGCGCCCGTTCCACCGCGCGCGAATCCCGACGAACCTCCCGTTTCGCTACCTCTCTCCCCGACACAGCGACCTTAAGTCCTCGCTCTTTCCCAGAGCTTCGACTTGGGGGGCTCCTGTTCTGGTCTGGGCCCGACCTCGGTCCAGCCCAATACCTCGCACGACCCAATAAGCGAATTGGCCACGCCGGGCACGCGCACCCCGCAGGACGGGCGAAACACACCACCGGACACAAGCGACGCGTCCAACAACATCTCGCTATCCCCTCTTATCGGTCGAACAGGACGCACCCCAGCGCATCGAAACGAGACCTTGGTTCCTCCCCAGCCTCGCGAGCTCCCCTCCGCGAGGAGAACAACGTGCCCGGCGCACGTTCTCCACGTGCTCCCCTCCGCGGGGACACGTCATCAGCCAACTGCCCACCTCCGAAAGGGCAGGTCAAACCCACTTTTCGGAGATCTAGGAGTGGTTGGACTAGAGCGAAGACCACGTCCTGGTCTTCACTACGCCACGTAAGCCCTAGCAGTCATTAGGGTTGGGCCTGGTCATCCAGCCCATCTCAAATGACCGTTGGCCCAGCGCTGGGGTCTCTCTATAAATACCCTCTTCCTCAAGAGGGTCAGGTAACACACTTTTTACCCCTCTTTCTGTACTTCGCCATCGCTCTGCCCAACTTCTCACTTTGGCATCGGAGTGTTTTGCAGGTACACCCCTCTTTTTTCCTCATCACCGGTGAGCAAGCAGCAGTCCAACAGAGTGTGGTCAGTCCGTGATCCCCTTCTGATCAGGTCAGATCACTTTTCATTCACCATCTTTAGTTTGCTATTAAAAAATATTTTTAATATTTAGGACGCTTAACCAACTTCGTGATTTTATTAACCAATTTTATTCACTCTTAAAAAATCACTATTCATATATTATACACAAACAATATTCATGATACTGTTCACGGACGCATGCACTATTCATATGACACTGCCTGAATTGTTCATGTAGTGTATGTTTTTGGTGTAAACAGTAAACCTAATTCAAAAAAATGGAACATGAAAAAATCATTGGTTTTCTTTTTTTTCAAAATTAGATCATTAATTCAACATTGGATCATTGTCATCCATGTGTACTTGGGCCCGAGGATTGAGACAAGTCCAATGTATTAATATCATTTTCAACCAAAATGTGTTTACTTCAAATTATTCAAGATTTATATTATTAAAATATAAAACAATTAGTTCTATGTGAGATTAATTATATTAAAGCCAGTCACTACATTCCCTTTAATTATTGAGTTTTTGATTTTGTTTTGTTATTTTAGTAGCTGTTTCTAAAATTCTAAAAAAATATTCATCCATTGTAATTCCATCAAAATGGACTTCCAAATCGAATTAATTAAAAAATATTTAATTATAGTTTTTAAAAATCATCTAAAACTATCCAATGTTAATAATATAACACAAGTTACGCATATATGCAACTCATGGATCCAACCCACCTAATTTCCATTTTCCATTGTTTGCTTGCATCTGGTTAGTTGGTTATCCGATATTCAAAATGCTTTCCATCTGTGGGTTACAGCAAGGCACATCTTTAAGGGGCGATCCCAATTACAATGACGTGGCAAGTCACTTTCATTATTAAATAAACTTACGTGTTTACACAAGCAATCTATCAAATCAATCAATATATAAACAACAACAAACTCGCTAAAGCTAAACCATTTCCAAACCTTGAAAAAGTAACAGTCATGAAACTCCAAACCCTATTTCTTCTCACAGTTCTTCTCATGGCCTCTGCGGCTGCAGCAAGGAAGCAACATCAGCTGGGTGGTTACAGCCCCATCACAAACATCAACGATCCTCACGTCATCGAGGTCGCCAAATTCGCCGTCACTCAGTACGACAAGCAAAGCGGTGCGAAGCTCAAGTTTAACAAGGTAATCAAAGGTGAATCTCAGGTTGTTGCAGGGACTAACTACCGCCTCACTCTCTCCGCCGGCGTAGGTTCCGTTTCGAAGATCTATGAAGCTGTTGTGTGGGAGAAGTCATGGCTTCACTTCCGGAACCTTACTTCTTTTAAACCTCTGTAATACTAAATTATATGTTGCTCTTATCTTATTGCATTTTTCCTCTGTAATGTACTGTACTGTGTTATATTTGTTATCTATATCAATAAACGTTTATGCCTACTAATTACTAAAGGAAAATGTTAATAATCAGTTTTTTTTTTTTTAATATTTGTGAATTGAATGAAGTAAACATAAGATACTTTTCTTATTTATAATTCTTAGGTCACTGGATGGTCTCACCCATTCCTAAATTATTAATTTTCATGAAAGACGAAAAACACAGAAATTAGTGAATTAGATTTTTAATTTATTTATATATTAAATTAGATTATTATTGTTTTTTTGAAATTTTTACACAAATAATCATGTTTCTTATAATATTATCTAAGATACCCATTTTTTCAAACCTAAAGAGAGGACAACAAATGAATTGTAGCCTCCTTTCAAATTTACGACGGAGTGTCAAATAAATTAGAGTCCTTTCTTAAACTCTAAAGTTAACTTCAAAAATTTTTAAGTTTTAAAGGAAGCGTTAAATGAATTTGAGTCACTAATAATTAAATATTTTTTTAAATGTTAGAGATTTTTTTTATATATAAATTGTGCCAAAACTCAAAGATATATTAAATGAAAAAGAAAAATAGGTACAAAAATGAGGGGGACATAGAGCCTAAACCTCAAACCTATCTGATTCTAAAATTAGATAAATCTAACCGGTTTCTACAAAAGTCCGATTCTATATCCCGATGTACATCATTCCACCAAGTAAAGTTAGAGATATTTAAACCTATGTTAGCCAATTTATCGGCACAATGGTTATCTTCCCTGAAAACATGAGAAGGCAAAAAGTTACAATTACCAAGGGTAGTCGTACAGTTGTCCCATATATTCCTGATCTTCCAGGGCACAACAGATGGTTTACTGAACGCCATCACAACAAGAGTTGAATCTGATTCTAGCCAAATATTTGACCAACCACGAACTAAAGCATGCTCAATAGCCAAAATAGCTCCCATCAACTCAGCAAACAGAGAATTAACAGGGCCTAAATTACAAGCAAAACTTTCAATGTGATTCCCGAAGTGATCTCTAAAGATCCCCCCACGAGCCGCGTTTATTGGATCACCGCCGGATGCTCCATCAATGTTGACTTTAATCCAACCATTTGGGGGAGGATTCCAAATGACTTCGACACACATCTTGGGATTAACCGGATTAATGGAAATAGAAAACTTTTTCAGAACTTGAAAATCCCCAATGTCCATAGAAGATGCTCCTTTGAAAGAATTTCCAGCCAGATGGGAAGTAGCATAAATAGATGAACATGTAGTTCTCCAAGGAATAAACCTGTTTTGAAACCGAGCTTGATTTCGAGCCCGCCAAATGCTATTAACCACAGCAATAATCGAAGCACGGTACACCACCTTACATTGCGCAACACCAGTTTTATGCATTGCAATGAAACAATCCTGCATATCTGAAAAGCTAACATTAACATTATGCATATCGCGCAGCCAATTCCAGATCCTCCGAGAATAGTCACATTGAAAGAATAGGTGATTGATATTTTCTTCTGTATGTAAACAGAGGTTACAAATAGAAGGGCCTGCCATACCGCAATGCCGGAGCACGTCATCCGTAGGAACACGATTCTTTATAACTCTCCAAAATAAAATAGAATGAGAAGGAGGGATGTTTGAGTGCCAAATGGAATTGCCCCAAACACAAGCATTTCCGTTATGCTTGCAGTAAGAATACGCATCCTTGACAGTGATATCGCCGCTTTCAGACCTGGACCAAGCGAGCCAATCTTCCTTCAAACAATTGACATAAATATTTTCCACCATCTGTGGCAGCTCAGGACAAAAACTGATCAGCCCCGGCGGCAAGTTAAACGAATTGCCGCTTAAAATGGAGCTCAGATCAGCCTTCAGCAGCGCCAGCTGAGCTTCCGAAAGATGAAGCGATGAACTCAAGGGACTGTCGCACCAGTTGTCACACCATAAATTAATTTTATTGCCCTTTACAATCATCCACATAGAATTCTGCAGTAAGTCTTCCAAAAATTCAGCACAACCTGTCCAAACAGACGAGAAAACGTGTGATTTACGCACCGAGCCTTTCCTTAAAACTCTAGCTTTTACAATCGAAGCCCAAGTGTCAATCTCATTCATAATACACCAGCACTGAACCAAACGATTTGCTTTGTTAAGAACACGAAGAGAGCGAATACCCAACCCTCCATCCTTACGGTCCGGACAACAAACTTTCCAAGCCACCGTAGCCATCTTTCTTTGATTAATATCACCACTCCATATAAAATTCTGACACCAAGTTTCAATTTGAGTGATCAAACTAACCGGCCAAGAGTAAATGCGGAAAGAAAATAGCAACATACTGTGAATCACCGAATTAACTAGTTGAACTCTTCCGGCTATAGAAAGTAAACTAGCTTTCCAAGCCGCTAATTTAACGCGAATTTTATCTGCAACCGGTTGAAAAAAAGCAGCTTTAGGTCTACCCTTGAAGATGGGAACCCCCAGATAAAGGAACGGGAGAACACCCAATTTAAAACCAAGACTACTAGCCAAGAATTCATGTCGCGCCGCAGCCATAGAACCTGCATAGATAAAGGATTTGGCCGGATTGCAGACCTGCCCAGAACATGAAGCATAACGATCCAACAGCTCCGCAATGGCTTCCAACAAAGAAGAAATACCTTGAGTGAAAAGCAAGATGTCGTCAGTGTAAAGAGTATGAGAAAGAAACACCATATTCCTGCAAGCTTTGATACATTTCAGCCTATTCGTAAATTGATATTTGTGTTGGACAAGATAGAGAAATGATATTGAGGATCATTCTCCGATTAAATCGTGTCACACAGACCAAAGAAACGTGGGATATCGTCTTAATCGTGAACATCATGTCGATTAATCGAAGGTAGCCTATCACGATCCCAAAGTAAAGAAAATGACCTAAATGGTCATTATCCATAGATTTGAAATTGCGAAGGTTATCAACTTTGATAAATCGATGCTTACGAATCGAAAGACTTCATAGATCGGGAAAATTTAAATAAAATCGAAAATGAAGAAGAAATTGAAAGAGAAAAGAAGGTGGTCTCGGATAAATCATTATCTATCAATAATTTGATCGATAATAATTTTCGGAGGTCTCGTCATTGACCCAAAGACGATGAAAATAAAACTTCAAAGATAAAAAAACATTAAAATCTAACTTTTAGAAAAATATATTAAAACTCTAAAAAAACAAAAATAAAAAAACTCTAAAAATTTATTAGAAAACTCTAAAAATTTAATTAGAAAAATATTATAAATCTCTAAGAAATAATTTTATTAAAAAAAAACAAAAAGACAATGGGGGTGTGTATAGAATCATGTGGGCCTTTGGAGGACCCATCATCTATACATATAAAAAACAATTCAAAAAAAAAAGAACGAAAAAGAAGGAAAACGGGCTCTAAGGCCCAGTTCCATCATCACCCAATGCTGTCGTTTTTTTTAAATAAATAATAAAAAATAAAACTTTAAAACGTGCACAGTTCTTGGCAGTGTAGGGTTGAATATCAATAAAACACTCATGTTACTTTCAAAACAAAAACACAACAATAATGCTCTTACAACTGTAGCGTTATCTCCAACAAAACCAAGTCCAAAAACACAGAACATAATTCATGGAAACGAGTTGGAGATTCAAAACTCACACGATTGATATCATGCTCAAAAGAAGGAACCACTTTCCTTTCCATCCTTGCGCAACAACTTACATATATGCAGATCGAAAGTGATTTCAATCCCAACCACTTTTACCCATGGTTTCGCTACAATCTTTCTTCCCCTTTTCATTGTCCGCGTTTTACTTCATCTCTTTCTTCTCAATTCTGTTCTATTCTAGCTATTTTTTTGGTTTGATTTGTGAGTATTGGAGGAAAAAGAGGAGAATTTGGGGAAGGATTGAACGGAGGTTGGGTCCTGTTGAAAGCGGAAGAAGAAGGAGGTTGAGGTTTTGCGTGGTTAAATGGAGGAAGAAGGAAGTTAGGGAGGTACGGAAGAAGATGAAGTTGGGTGAACGAGAACTTGGGTTGCTGTTGTTGGAACGGGAAGAACGAGAGGTGTCTGAGTGAGTTGTTTGTTTAGAGTTTTTAAGAAGGTGGATCAAGGGTTTTGAAGATGCAGATGTTGTGCTTTTTGTGCGGCGGTCGTACCATTACGTGTGGTTTGTAAAGGTTTTTGTTTCATTCTCTGTCATTGCAGTTGGTAGCCAAGGAAAAAAATGTTGTAATTGTTGTGTGGGCAAATTGTAGCAGGGTGAATTGGTAGTGTATAGTTTGTGACGTTGAAGCGGTTTTATCGCATCTGTCCAATTATGAATTATTATGAAGTTTGTATATGTACAAGATTGTTGTGCAGATTTTGTGAATTGTCGCAAGTTGAGGAGTACCGGGTCTTGGCATCCAACGCATCCGGGTTTGGAAGACACCATGTCACGTGCAAGACTAGATATTGGGCCATTAATTCTCTCTTTTTTTTTTGCTTGTGAAATTTTTGTAATGGAAGGTGGACTTGTGTTGGGCTTTGCATGATTTTCTCTCCTTTTTTTTTATGAAGTGGTCCTTGTAATATTTCTTTTGGACTTTAGAAATTTATAATCAAATGAGTGTACGAGTTATAAAGATGGACTTTGGTATTTAGAAAGAAGGTGATGTAAATGGATTTATTTTGATTTATGGTTTATAACGAAAATTTGGACAAAGTTGGTTAAATGTGAATCTAGAAATGGTTTTAATATAGGAACATGGCCATGAGTTAAGAATTGGATTTAAACTAAAAATGGACGTTCGGGTATGAATTTGGAAAAAGAAATATTAAGACGACTCTGTTGCACCCCAAAATTTGCTTTAGCTTTTTCTAACTTTAACTGATTTTTGTTTCGCACTCTTCTGAATATCATCTAGGTCGATCATTTCTCGCATACTGTCCATGTTATCAGTCGGAATGGGT